GTATATTCTAATATTCAAATTCTATATTCTAATATTCAAAGTATATTCTAATATATTCAAATTCTATATTCTAATATTCAAATCCTATATTTTAATATTCAAAGTATATTCTAATATTCAAATTCTATATTCTAATATTCAAAGTATATTCTAATATATTCAAATTCTATATTCTAATATTCAAATCCTATATTTTAATATTCAAAGTATATTCTAATATTCAAATTCTATATTCTAATATTCAAAGTATATTCTAATATATTCAAATTCTATATTCTAATATTCAAATTCTATATTCTAATATTCAAAGTATATTCTAATATATATATGAAAGTATATTCTACAATAAATATTATTAAATGTATGAAAATTTTGTGTGTTATATTTCAATTCGAAAACGGACAGAACTTTTCGGTAGACCTAATACTTTGCACCGGTCCAATTTGCGTGTTCCTTATACCACTTTAAGCCTTTCGTCCTGCGTTCCTTTGTGAGCAAAGGTTTCGGTTTTTGCCTTTCGAAACAAGAAGCCCATTTCGTTTAATCGATTTTTAACAGTACGGTCCAGACTCCCGAGGTCCACCGTTCATTTATTTGTTTTGCATGTTGCTCTCGCCACATATTTTTAACAATTACACGTAATTTCCTATCGTCTTTTCTACTTGTTGCACGAGGACGACCACTTTTCTTACGGTCAGATACACTGGCCCTGTTTCATTATACTTTTTCATATCACTTATCGTGCTCCGACTACATCCTATAATTTCTGCGACTTCTCTTCGATTATTACCTCGCTTGGGAAGTTCAATTGCTCTTAACTTTAAATCGTTTGAATACAACTTACACGACGGCATATATCGCGTACGTCCGTTTTACTTATCCGCTGACAGAAATGTTTTGTATTCCAGACGCCTCGGCGGTAAAAGCGTTTGTTTATACATTTTCTCACAGGCGCGCGAGTTGTGTTCAACGCTTGCTTCCTTCGCTTTGAGACATTCGTAGAGCTAGTTGTTCGAACTACAATCGGAAACTTTTTTCCAACGCTTGTAACTGATCGGGGACTTTTTACCACATATTTTGCTCTCTCTATGGTTTTTTCTTTTTTTTTTTTTTGATAATAAATGAAAAATTGCGTTCTTTCGTATTCATCTACGTTATTTAGATCCCACCTACGTTCTACATTTGTCTTACCTGTGTGTAAATGAACATTTTATAATTCTGAAACTCGAATATCCTTTGTAAATTTCGCGTAAGTGCATATAATCGAGAATTTTTTGCCACGGGTTGTACTATCGAATTTTCATGAAAGAAATTTTCAGAATTAGTTAGTTCATCTTTCTGTCCTATATTGATTTCTTTATATTTGGCGCCCAAAAAATATATATGAGAGTTACAAGATTCTTTTTTATGTAAATAATTCATTGCAGATATTTCGGCTGATCCAGATTTTTGATTCTAGAATTTTCACAAAAGAAATTTTCAGAATTAGTTAGTTTATCTTTCTGTCCTATATTGATTTCTTTATATTTGGCGCCCAAAAAATATATATGAGAGTTACAAGATTCTTTTTTATGTAAATAATTCATTGCAGATATTTCGGCTGGTCCAGATTTTTGATTCTAGAATTTGCACAAAAGAAATTTTCAGAATTAGTTAGTTTATCTTTCTGTCCTATATTGATTTCTTTATATTTGGCGCCCAAAAAATATATATGAGAGTTACAAGATTCTTTTTTATGTAAATAATTCATTGCAGATATTTCGGCTGGTCCAGATTTTTGATTCTAGAATTTGCACAAAAGAAATTTTCAGAATTAGTTAGTTTATCTTTCTGTCCTATCGATTTCTTTATATTTGGCGCCCAAAAATATATATGAGAATTACAAGATTCTTTTTTATGTAAATAATTCATTGCAGATATTTCGGCTGATCCAGATTTTTGATTCTAGAATTTTCACAAAAGAAATATTTTCAGAATTAGTTAGTTTATCTTTCTGTCCTATCGATTTCTTTATATTTGGCGCCCAAAAATATATATGAGAGTTACAAGATTCGTTTTTTTCTGTGAATAATTCATTGCAGATATTTCGGCTGATCTAGAATGAAGATACACGGTAAGTTATGTTCTATATATTAATTTTTCTCATAAATGTATAAAATTCGCAATCAACTGATCACTCAGTGAAATATTAGCTTCCCATTTTCGGCTTCGTTCACTAAATTATTAGGTCGGCGCACATGAAATGCCGGGCTTTTATTATACGTAAATATCCATGTCCCTGTTTGTGTTATGTTGTTGTTTATGACAATCACTTTTACAGTCTTACCATCGCCAAAAATAATTTCTTCAAAATTCTGTAATTGTTGTCATTTATATTTATAATTATTTATATTTATAATATAATGTATTCGTGTTGCGACATCGCAGAGATCGCAAAAAATACGGTTCAAAAATTAAACGAATTAAAGTCTGAAATTTCGCAAGGTTTAACTTATATTGTTTCTGTAAATAATGAGATTTCGTTGTACAGAGTCGAATTGAAAGGCAAATCATTACGTTGCTCGAAAATTGTACAGGAACCGATAAATAAAATATTTTGTGTTTTTATTTATGCTAATATTATTTATATAATTATTTATATAATATTTAATTTTATTAATAATTAAAAAGCGATGCCACTTCAACATGAATACATCGTGTCGCCGTATCGGCGACGTCCGAGGTGCAAAGGGTTAAGATCTCTACGGCCTCTATTTCTAGAAAATTGCTTGAAAATGATTATTTGTACATTAAAAGCTCGTCGAGAGAAGTGTGTCGAAGCGAATGGATCATATTTCGCCGAAATGAACATCTTTCGAAGAAAGACAAGAAAATTTTCGTTGTTCGTTTCAAAATCCAACATTTCATATGCACGAATGTGATTCCATGGTGTCTTTCGACGAACAACGTGTCGACGTTTTACCATATCGTGTAGGTGCAATGAGTGTAACGAACCTCTGTTTGAACCTCATCGAGGTCAACAAGCTGGAGCGCTTCTTCGAGATTGAACCCGTCGGAGAACTCGAGGGTGTCGTTGTTGAGGAGACCTTCAACGCCGGCACTGCCTAAGAGGCCACCTCCGAGTAGATCCGAAGGGAAATCATTCTCGAGCTCTAAGGTGTCGGTTAATCCCAAAGAATCATCTGTTAACCCGGCTAGAGGATGATTATCTAAATCCAGCGACGTGTCTCCGAGCAGCTGATCGTCCTCGTCGGCCTCGTTGCTTCCGCTGCCGCCTTGATTGCCGGAGCTGAGAATATATTCACCTGTAACACACGCAAGCACACACGTGCTTGAATTGAACGGTACGTACGATTTGCAAAAAAGAAATCGGCGCGAAACCGTCGACCGAGTTTTCGAAGATTCCGAACGCTTCTTCCTTTTTTTCTTCTTTTTTTTTGTTCTTTATCTTTGGTCGGACGGACGGCTTTCGTTGTGTAACTCGCGGAGGGGTTGCGCGCGAATAAATTATTGGTTGATGACACGTAAGCGAGCGTAAACAGGTTCGCGTGCACAAGTACGGTTCACGAGGATCATTTAAACCCATTTAATTGTTTCTGAGACAGTACGACAACACGCGATGGACTACGGTTTCCCGATTGTCGGCTATTACATTCCGGAATTTTCTATCGTCGGAAATTATTTCGAGACGCGTATCGCGTTGTCTTTGCGGACAAAAAAAGAACGGGAACACACAGAGTAACGTTGGAACTCGCGGAGCAACGTCTAAACGTCGTTTCTACCACGATATTTTTCGATGCACGGTAAAATTTTCACGAGTTCTTCAAAATCAAACGTTCGCGTCGACTCAACTTGCACGTTAGACCAGTTCGAATCAGATAACTTTTATCTGTAACGAACTTACTCCGTTGCAATGAACGAACATTTTAATAGTTATAAATAGATCGTGCATCTTTATACGAGACAAAGATATTCTGCGTCGATTATGAAATATAGAAATCAAGTAGATAATTCTTCCTTTCTTTAATAATTTCGATACATTCGAAATAATATATTGACATTAGCAAATTCTTTTCATTTTATTATCACATTCGCCTATTCAACTGTGCATAAAATCGACTGTTTAATGACGAACGCCACTCGGACTGTTATTCGTTTGTAAAATTTGCCGAAGTCGACAATGTTTTACTTTATAAATTATAAGAATCACGATTTTGCGAATTCAGTTAGCAGTTATTTCCGAGAAGATAATGTTTATTGTAGAGGAAAATGAAAATTAACTTCTGCATGTAATTCTATGTAATATCGACACTGCTACACTGCTACAAACCTTTCCGTATTGGATGAAGATCGTAGTTTTACAAATTCTCAATCGAGATAAGGTAAGGAAACACGACATTGTCATTCGTACAAACATAGCGAACGANTCGTAGTTTTACAAATTCTCAATCGAGATAAGGTAAGGAAACACGACATTGTCATTCGTACAAACATAGCGAACGAATAAGAGCCGAATGTTATCCATTATTATTATTAATACTGTGTCGTTTTCAACGCAACAGAGGGAATGCAGCGACTGCTTAAAAACCTAACGGACGATACACTAAATTACAGAATCTTCGACTGCTCTGTGAAAATGCCAATACGCTAAACTCGATGAAATTTCAATGTTGCAAAGACGCTCCGCAATTGTTCGCTCTCAAAAATTATTTTATGATACAATCGTTTATTTTCAAAACTGTTCGAAGGTGCAAAATCTACCGCAATCGAAACGCGCGCACAATTTTGGCCGCCCAAAAAATATTTCGTTGCACGATTATCCGTTTATTTCGAGGATTTAAATTGCGGACGATAGAAAGAGTAAAAACGATAAAAGCAAACTCGGGATTCCTGCTTCGCTACGGTACAAAATCCACCAGAATTAAAAGAGGTTCGCAATATTCGAAATCCGCGAAATATTTGGCCACGCAATTATTCGACCGTTTCGAAAATTTATATTACAAAGGGTGAAAAGGGTGAACAATAAAAGCGAACTCGAAATTCCTTCCTGCTTCGCTACGGTACAAAATCGATTACAATTGAAACGCTATTTAGTTACACAATTAGTCGTCGGTTTCGAAAATTTAAACTGCAAAGGGTAGAACAAAGAAAGGGTGAACAATAAAAGCGAGCTCGAGATTCCTTCCTGCTTCGATACGGTACAAAATCCACCAGAATTAAAAGAAGTTCGCAATATTCGCAATTATTCGACTGTTCCGAAAATTTACACTGCAAAGGGTGAAAAGGGTGAACAATTAAAGCGAACTCAAGATTCCTTCCGGCTTCGCTACGGTAAAAAATCCACCAGAACTAAAAGAGGTTCGCAGTATTCGCAATCCGCGAAATATTTGACCGCGCAATTATTCCACTGTTTCGAAAATTTACACTGCGAAGAGTTGAAAGGATGCGAACGTCTAAAACGACACCAAAAGAAAAAACGTACGATTTCTAACGAATCGTTCTTCGACAATTTCGACGGCTCCTCTTCAATCTCAACTACGTTGCATTCGAAGTCGGCTGATAAAATTCCGTTCTCGCACACAGCACGAGTTCTACGATCCCGACGGTGCCGCACGCGTTTGTAATCGTTGCATCGTTGCACAAAACGGTTGCAGACGATTCTCCCAAACAGCGAATATAACACGAAGTCACAAATCGCGGCCGCGGGTCACCTGGACGCGGCTCATCCCCCCGGTTACACAAAATCGATCGGCGTCGAATTCGCGTCGGAGTCTTCGAAAATGCGAAACTTCCGAGATGAATCTGTTACGCGGCGGCGAATACCCTCGAACACGGGCAGAAAATTCGAGGATAAAAATCATTCGAGGATGATTCGACTAAACCGGATTCACTGTGACTCGGCTAAAGCTGTTCATCTCGAGGCGCGGCACTTGAGAACTGACTGCAGCCGACGGACAGGTAAAATTTTGGAGGAGGGACAGGAAAGGAAAAAAAACGTAACTAATTGAGGGACAAAGGGGTGTTGTTGAAGATCCACCTGCTGGTCTGAACAACCCCCACAATGTTCCCGCCCTACGGCCAATCGCGCGTCCCCGTTTCTACCCTACTTCATCCCTCACGCACGCTCCGAACACGACCTGGCCGGATCGTTCGCCTCTCCGTCGCTCTCCAAACACGCAACGCGCTCTTCCAGAGGCCCTGCTTTTATACTGTTCTTCGTTCTTTCTATCTCGTGCAAATTTAAATTTTCCAAATAAATGGGCAATCGTGTAGCTAAAGTTAATCGTTGTCGATTTTGTACCGTAGCGAAACAAGAGTTTCCGGAGTTCGCTTTTATTGTTCACACTTTCTTTGTTCTATCCCTTGCAGTTTAAATTTTCGGAACCGACGACTAATTGTGTAACTAAATAGCGTTTCAATTGTAATCGATTTTGTACCGTAGCGAAGGAGGAAGGAATCTCGAGTTCGCTTTTATTGTTCACCCTTTCCACCCTTTGCAGTATAAATTTTCGAAACGGTCGAATAATTGCGCGGCCAAATATTTCGCGGGTTGCGAATATTGCGAACCTCTTTTAATTCTGGTGGATTTTGTACCGTAGCGAAGCAGGAATCTCGAGTTTGCTTTTATCGTTTTTACTCTTTGTATTATCTGCAATTTAAATCTTCGAAATGAACGGATAATCGTGCAACGAAATATTTTTTGGGCGGCCAAAATTGTGCGCGCGTTTCGATTGCGGTAGATTTTGCACCTTCGAACAGTTTTGAAAATAAACGATTGTATCATAAAATAATTTTTGAGAGCGAACAATTGCGGAGCGTCTTTGCAACATTGAAATTTCATCGAGTTTAGCGTATTGGCATTTTCACAGAGCAGTCGAAGATTCTGTAATTTAGTGTATCGTCCGTTAGGTTTTTAAGCAGTCGCTGCATTCCCTCTGTTGCGTTGAAAACGACACAGTATTAATAATAATAATGGATAACATTCGGCTCTTATTCGTTCGCTATGTTTGTACGAATGACAATGTCGTGTTTCCTTACCTTATCTCGATTGAGAATTTGTAAAACTACGATCTTCATCCAATACGGAAAGGTTTGTAGCAGTGTAGCANAACATTCGGCTCTTATTCGTTCGCTATGTTTGTACGAATGACAATGTCGTGTTTCCTTACCTTATCTCGATTGAGAATTTGTAAAACTACGATCTTCATCCAATACGGAAAGGTTTGTAGCAGTGTAGCAGTGTCGATATTACATAGAATTACATGCAGAAGTTAATTTTCATTTTCCTCTACAATAAACATTATCCTCTCGGAAATAACTGCTAACTGAATCCGCAAAATCGTGATTCTTATAATTTATAAAGTAAAACATTGTCGACTTCGGCAAATTTTGCAAACGAATAACAGTCCGAGTGGCATTCGTCATTAAACAGTCGATTTTATGCACAGTTGAATAGGCGAATGTGATAATAAAATGAAAAGAATTTACTAATGTCAATATATTATTTCGAATCTATCGAAATTATTAAAGAAAGGAAGAATTATCTACTTGATTTCTATATTTCATAATCGACGCAGAATATCTTTGTCTCGTATAAAGATGCACGATCTATTTATAACTATTAAAATGTTCGTTCATTGCAACGGAGTAAGTTCGTTACAAATAAAAGTTATCTGATTCGAACTGGTCTAACGTGCAAGTTGAGTCGACGCGAACGTTTGATTTAGAAGAACTCGTGAAAATTTTACCGTGCA